AGACTGCCACGATGTGATCGGCGAGACAATAGTAACCGATGGTTTGAGACTTTGAATGAAATGGCTCACAATCACTTGCGATGGCTCAGATATATCCACTCTTTGTGTTCTCTCAAATTCTAATCTTTTGAATTCGCTAATACTTCTACTATCTCTACCACTATGGAATTTGAACTGACAATTTGATCACTGTGTGCTAATGTGGTTATGGCAATCAGAATAACTAACTGACTGACTGATTTTGATTAACTAGGATGATCATGATTGGTGAATAAACACCACACAGTCAAACAAGGTCAATGATAGTCAACATGGTGTTAAATGTTTAACATCAGTTAATTGATGGCTATCGTTTATCGATCATACCTTACATACATCAAATACATATTTCAATAATATTTTTAAATGAATTGTTAAATAAACACTGTTATTTTTAACACTGACTGTCATGCTGCCCTCCAAAAACAAAATGTTAACACCCATGGAGAGATCACGTGAATTATGCTTTTCAAAGGTCACATTAAAGTGCAAATGTAGAATTACTACAATAATTCTAATATACTGTTTTACGGGAAATTTGTATTCTATCATAAAACTGACAAGATTACTGGATTGTTGGTTTAAAACGGAAAAAAAATGCACGTAATTACTTACGCTTGTTATCACCCACTGGAGAGTAGGCCACCGACGAACATTCTCCAACCTACTCTGTCCTGAGCTTCTCTTCTCATGTTTGTCTCGATTTCTCAGCGTAATGTATTCCTTGGCCTTCCACTTTTCCTCCTTTGACCTTGAGGGTTCTAAGTGTGATGAGAGCTTGTACATCAGAATAAAATTTTTCGATATGAGTAATTAATTAAACTGTAGACTTAGTTATAATGGTCTTTACATATCTGGACAAAGAAGATGAATTCATAATGCCAATAAGTTTACAATTGTCAACTTCAATCGACTAACTCTATTATAATTAATTCTGTTTAAATAATCTTGTCTTGACTAAAACACACATTGGTATTTTTTATTTTGCTAATTAAATTAAACAAAATAATATTAATACAGAAAAATATCAATAAATTGAACATTGAAAAAGTGTTTAAAATCGCTTGTGAAATGTCTCTGTTTTGTACTAGTTGAATGTGTAAATTTTTTTCGCGAATATTTTATAATTTGGTGGGAGTAACTATGACTCTCTTAAGGTAGCCTAATGCCTCGTCATATGAGGGGCGTAGCTGCAGAATGCCTGAGGTTGCCTCGGGTTGAGCAATATGTGCTGCCTTTGGGAGGGTTGTAGTTGCGACTACCTCTTCGTGGTCCTGCCAGGCAACGTGGCGTTGTTTACAGCGCTGCGGCTAAAAGCCAATCCGAACGCTTAGGATACCGCGCCTAGCATGGTCCAGAATAATGGTACGTGTTCAAAGTCGCAAGGCTGTGGATGCGGTTAGCCACTCCGTGGGATTAGGACTGAACGTCTCTAAGTCTGAATCCCATCCATCGAGCGTAGGTAAATTCCGATAATGGTTTGAGGACTTGTCCTCTATCATTCCGTAGTAGCAAATACCTTGAAAGAGATGTAGCTTTCCAGGATGATTGAAGGCGGCCCTAGAAGTTCTGTTTGGGGAAGCAGCCGTAGAAAACCTGGACTATTGACGCGGACCCTATGTGGTTTTCCTGAAAACCCTGTATCTCGGTGTAATGTGTAAACTGGCCTCGAGGCCCCTTAAACAAGGGTCTCGAGTTGGGTTGTGTGATACAATGCTAAAGGGTACTGGATGCCAATGATATCTGCCCACTTCTGTGGGATTAACCCAGCTTGGCCAAGTGCTTGCACTTGGTTGAGTCCATGACATCTTCCCCATAGAAGTGTGTATGTTCCGGCTGACGTTGTGGGAAAAATTCGATCTTTAGCTTCATGTGGGATCTGAGGACTCCGGTCGATTGTATCAGCGCAAGGCAGTTGGAGGCCAGACGGTTAGAACGGCTGCTGGTTGGCTCGATAATCCGTTCAGGGTGCCAGGTCCAGCTGGGTAAGCCTGCCTTGCTGCCCATGCCGATCGGGGATTTCGGGTAGTGGATTGGTGGAGGGATCTTGTTGATTTATAAGTGCACGAACGGGGGCCACTGTTTGTCCGACCTGCTTGCAGGCCAAACTGGACAACATGTATGTTCCCGATTGGGGCAGGGGTGATCATTAAACGTCTAAAGTGAAAGTCCTTGTGTTACCTAAAAAGCAGCGATGCGCATGTGCAGCGGGCTTGCTCATTAACCAAGATTTAATTAGAAAATAAATCATTTTTGTTGAAATGTGTAATAATGTTTAATTCAATTTTTTAAATGTGGTTTTGGATTATTCTGTTATATTGATATGTAGATTAAAATTTTGATCAGTTTTGCTTGGTATCCTATACGGATTGTTTCGAGGTAGTCAACATGACATAAGTGAACATCAAATATGAGATTCAGGCCCATCTAGCTGATGAGTCGCAAATAGGACGAGACGAACCGCCTGAATTCCACTGCAGTCAGTCAACTACAACGTGGAACTTCGTATGTGCGAACATCAGTTCAAGTCGCCATACCACATTAGCACAAAGAGATGCAATTATCAATTTAAACCCCACAGTAGTAGCGTAGTGAAGGAGAACACAGGTGGGGCAACCGAATTGTATTTAACGAAAATTACAGAGTTACTCAGTAAAATAAAAAAACCATATCGTAAATCGTTCAGTTGCAAAATATCAGTCCATCATCATATCGAACTGGACTGTTCCTGATGCAAAACATCAATCCATTGTCACTACTATTCATGCGTTTCATACACAAATTCCATTGTGTTCTTCTAACTCTTCCTTTCTTGATCTTCCCCCCCCCCCATCTTCTGCTGCCAGACATTACGTTGACACTCACGTTATATACTACTTATAAGTAGCTCACACCACAGTAGTAGTAGTAGTGTTAAATAAATTTAGAAGGAGAAAGATCCTTACACCACTTCTAACCACATTCTATCTATTCTGTGAGTAACAATGTCCTAAAACCTTGCATCTATTTATTAGAATTCTCACATACAATTATAGTTAATCAAACATATATTTTTCGGAGAAACAATGAACGTTTTTAGAATGCAAAATATATCCTCTATGAATGATGAAAAGATTATAGACAATTTTCCAGGTTTAAGACCTTATTTGACAGCTTACAGAATTCTTTTTCAGTTCCGCTCAAAGTTCTTCAATCATAGTTTAATTTTTAAAGCGAAATAACCATCAACTGAAACTAAGGAGTGTATATTTTGAAATATGAAAAAAATATCATGGAAATTCATTTATAAACGATAAAAGCTTATAATTGACTAACTTACTTATTTCTTCTGGTTAGTGTTTCTTCAGCGAGTGAGTTCTGTACGCGATAAGATCGCTAACCACAAGCCGAATCTCCTACCTTTATCCAGGCATAGGATCGGCAGTAGTCCTAGAGGTACCCCAGCTGGAGTTAAAAGCTTATCACTTACTTACTTACGCCTGTTACCCCCAATGGAGCATAGGCCGCCCACCACTTTTCTCCAGCCAACTCTGTCCTGGGCTTCCATTTCCAATTCTGTCCAATGTTTGTTCATTCCTCTCATATCCTTCTCTATTTGCAAGCGTATTGTGTATCTTGGCCTTCCTCTTTTCCTTTGACCTTGAGGGTTCCATGTGAGGGCTTGTCTTGTGACGCAGTTGGACGATTTTCGTAGTGTGTGTCCTATCCACTTCCAACTCTTCTTCCTGATTTCCTCATCCACTAGAATCTGGTTTGTTCTCTCCCACAGTATGTTGTTGCTGATGGTGTCTGGCCAACGAATCCGAGGTATTTTGCGTAGACAACTGTTCATAAACACTTGTATCTTGTGGATGATAGATTTTGTAGTTCGCCAAGTTTCCACCTCATACAGTAGAACTGTCTTGACATTTGTATTGAAAATCCTGATTTTGGTTTTGTTTGAAAGTTGTTTGGAGTTCCAGATATTTTTCAACTGTATGTAGAAATGCAGCCCTTGCTTTGCCAATCCGTGCCCTCACATCTGCATCGGATCCACCTTTCTCGTCGATGATGCTGCCCAGATATGTAAAGGTGTTCACGTCTTCCAAGGCATCTCCATGAAGAGTGATTTGGTTGGTGCATGTTGTGTTGCATCGGAGAATTTTGCTTTTTCCTTTATGTATGTTGAGACCTGCTGCTGCAGAGGCTGCTGCTACACTGGTCGTCTTCTCTTGCATTTGTTGTTGCGTGTGAGACAGAAGAGCCGTGTCATCTGCGAAGTCCAGATCGTCCATCTGCGTCCTAGCTGTCCAGTTGATACCGTGCTTCTCTCCAGACGTCGACGTCTTCATAATCTAGTTGATCACCAGGAGAAGTAGAAAGGGTGAGAGTAAGCAACCTTGCCTGACACCAGTCTTCACCTCAAAAGTGTCTGTTAGCTGTCCTTCGTTTTGTTTACCAATAATACCCTGCTGAAGACTTTGCCTGGCATTGAAAGTTTATCACTATACTTAGAGAAATATTCTGACTAAATGGCTTGTGTTTCTACTAATGTTGGAAAATGAACAAAGTTACGTATGTCATGTTTGCTAAACAGGAGACAGATAATGATTCAAAATACCAATTTTTAAGTAACATTGAGATGGTGAAGAAAATTAGCGGCTCAGATAGATAGATGATTGTGATGGAATTTCGTTCTCTGAGCTGGATAATTTGGTTATGGAGCCTTTATTATTTTTCTGAACAACATCATCAGTACAAACTTTAGGTAGAAATGAAGTATCAGAAGAGCAATGAAAGTTTGAAGTAACATGTTATCTAAGAATAATTTCAATTGACTTCACTTTCAGTAAACGATTCGTCTAAACTTACTCGGTAGTACTATGTCTGCCTTAAGTGACTCTCCAATTATATCGGTTAAGTTTCACTTTGGCTATCATTGTATACAATATATTTTAATATCAAATAGTTACTGATAAATATCATTCTTTTGATTCATTTGAATTTGGTGAATTCATTCCGGGATTCGAATACTAAAACATACATTTTGAGATGGTGGAGAAAATTTGTAGTTCAGGTGTTTCGTTCTCATTGGTGACATAGGATCAAGAAACAGATCAAAAAGGGGGAGGCAATCAAAACAAAGTTGCAAACAACGACAAGTTTAAGGTCGACAGCAACCAATCAAGATCGAGGTTAACAAAACAATCTACAGGTCAAACGTGGAGAAATTCGAATGCTTCACTTCTCCTAACTGAAGTTTTTGCTGATGATGTTGTTCAGCAGCAGAAGAACAATGAAAGCTCCACAACGAAAACATCCAGCCAGTTCAGAGAACGAAACACCGACACTTATACATAAAATTCATACACTACAATCCAACCATTGGTCAGTATCAGTTCTATACCAACGAATGTATAGCTTAGTTTTTACATTGTCTAGATAACCAACCATAAGTTTCAATAATCCATCGAATTCACAAAAATACTGGAAGGCAGATGGCAGTAAATTTTAAGGGGACTCCATGAATTTTACTAGCATTCTAAGGTAAAGGTTTAAACAGTAGAGAATGATTTGATGACATACTTTCATGGAGATTGTTAATCAAAATGATGATAGTTCAAGAATGTTTACTTGTAAACCAAGACGTACTTGGGAAACCATCACAATAGCAGATTCTAGAAATGTCGAGAAATAAAACTCAACCATTTCAACAACTTCATACTGAAAATTATCATTTGACTAGCCTCGAGAAGACGTAGTCAGTGGAGATAATTCATATTGTGTGTAAGTTAATAATCACTGATGAACATGGAAGGTGATCATGCAGTATTGTGAACCACCGGTTGACTTGTAAACCAATGAATTCCGGTCCATTAGCCTGTGGGTTAAGTGTTTGTTCACGAGACTAGAGATCCTGAGTCCGATTCTTAGTTGGTTGGTCGATGCTCGCTGTTGAGTTCTATACTAGAATGAAACGACCGTTCAGTGCTTTCAAGTGCTGTCAAGATTGTCTAACATTGTTTGATTCGTAATCGCAATGAAATTTAAAAATCTATACAATAGTTGATTACCAAGAATAACAGATGAGAAACATTTCATTTCGTTGAATAATTAAATTTAAAAATTCTAATTGTTTGTGGAAAGTGATTGAATATTATCATGCTCTCATGTAACTTGAAGGCTCTTAGTTCAATATTGTGTTACGTTGTAAGTGAATGTTGAACAGTTACAATCTAGTTTCTCCTAAACGTTCTTTACTAGTTTATAATGCGGTCGAAATAACAAGTTGATTTTATTTGTGAATATATGATTAAATTACTTATACTTAAAGTTATCGAATAGTACAATACCACTCAATAACTTTATAGATTGATTGGAAATCATAAGCCTCATGTTTATAGGTTAACACAATGTACTTTGGTTCAAGACAGCTGGTCAGTGTCACTAATCATATATATTACATACTGAAACACATTAACCAAATAAATCTTTGTGTAGTAGGGTTGAACTCTTCTAGGAGCCCCTCTGGGGCTACTGCTGGTCCCAAGTCAGAAATTTTCATGCAAATGTCAGCATGAAGCGGAAACTTGGAGAACTACCAAAGCCACCACCCAGAAGATACAAGTGTTTATTGGCAGTTGTCGACACTATTCAGCCACAACCTATTGTTTGAGAGCACAAACCAGATTCCAGTGGAGGCAGATGCGCTGGACTTGGATACAGCATATTCTGAGGTAAGCACCCAAATGTGTCTGTCACAAGACAAACCTTTACTTGGAATCCTCAAGGTCAAAGGGGAAGAGAAGGACCGAAAACCACACCACAACACCGAAATATGGAGACAGATATGAGAAGAATGTACAACGACTCAACAGAACTAGAGAGGAAGGTTGAGGACGTAGTAGGTTGTTGATTTTCGGTCAGGGGCCTATTGGGAGTAACAGAGACGTGAGTAAAAGGCTTTGATTTTAGAATTTTTTTATGATGGCCAGTGATATTACTTTGTCTGTGCAACTGAAGTTGATGGATTGAGATTTTATGTGTCACTCCACAAACTATTACTTCATTTTACTACGCTGTATAAAACATTTAAGTTCAGTAAGATATTTCTTGATTTATAAGGT